ATGAATAGAGTCTGTATTTCCATGGTGAATCATGCATGGCCACTTTGATGTGCGAAGCGGGCGGTCTGCTCTATTTTATTCGAAGTTATTGGTCGTTGGAAGATGTAATGCCGAGCGCCATCCTTTATTGAGTTATCTGCATCACGCTTACCAAGATTGAGGGCATACCATCCCAAAATTACCAAAATCGTCCGACTTGGTAACCTTATCTGATAATATGCTGAAAATTGAGCTTAAACATATTTTTAGACAAAATCTCATATCACGAACTTCTTTTTGTAAATATTAGACAATAAACCGTGGCAGTATTCAAAGTTATATGGTGTTATGTAAACCGGGATTCGTTCCACTCTCCATCCTAGAGGCCCTGGTCTGCACGCTAAGGCCCCTGGGTGGTGAGTGTATTCGTATCTCCAGGTTTTCTTTGTAATGCTATGCGTGAGGAGGCACTTTTACAACGTAAATTGTTGGCGGGGTTAAATTGTAGTATGAGTACCCATGCTCAAACATAGCTTTCTAAAATGCGTAAAGAAATTTGCAAAAATAAATAACTCTTTTCAAACAAAAGCAAAGCCTTGCGAGAACAAATTTGCCGGCAGATTTGCCGGGAAATTCAACAAAAGCAATTATGACATGAAGATTGAAAAAATAATTCTTTTTACGTTTACGTCATCCGTTTGAAATAGACACTCTTGTTTAGTTTGGTTTTCTCCATTTTAATGACTCTGAACGCCGCACGCACGTATATGTGACTATCTGTTTGAAAATCACTAATTTATGTTGCAGCTTACATAGCCAGTAAACTCAAGTGCCCCTCCCCCTTACTTACGTCTTGATGTTTTTTCTAAGAATATTTAATGTAGAAAGTCTGATAAATCTCAGTATTTTATTCATATCTCATTATTTGTTGGAATTTGAGCTCAATAAAGCTTCAGTTGCTGGGGTCCTGGTCGCTGAATACATACAATGAAAGTCAGTTGCCATTTCCGTCGAACTACTAGTATGTGGTAATAAACAAACGCACTCTTAATTAACAGTCCAGAGGGCGCTTTCTCAGTTTCTCTCAGTGAAGAACCGTGACGTTTTGAGTTACAAGTAGGGTGGTATCAATGAGAGTGAGTTACAAGCAGAGTGGTATTAATGAGAGTGTGTTACAAGCAGGGTGGTATCAATGAGAGTGAGTTACAAGCAGGGTGGTATCAATGAGAGCGAGTTACAAGCAGGGTGGTATCAATGAGAGCGAGTTACAAGCAGGGTGCTATCAATGAGAGTGAGTTACAAGCAGGGTGGTATCAATGAGAGTGAGTTACAAGCAGGGTGGTATCAATGAGAGCGAGTTACAAGCAAGGTGGTATCAATGAGAGTGAGTTACAAGCAGGGTGGTATTAATGATAGTGAGTTACAAGCAGGGTGGTATTAATGAGAGTGAGTTACAAGCAGGGTGGTATTAATGAGAGTGCGTTACAAGCAGGATGGCATTAATGAGAGTGAGTTACAATCAGGGTGGTATCAATGAAAGCGAGTTACAAGCAGGGTGGTATTAATGAGAGTGAGTTACAAGCAGGGTGCTATCAATGAGAGCGAGTTACAATCAGGGTGGTATCAATGAAAGCGAGTTACAAGCAGGGTGGTATCAATGAGAGCGAGTTACAAGCAGGGTGGTATCAATGAGAGCGAGTTACAAGCAGGGTGGTATCAATGAGAGCGAGTTACAAGCAGGGTGGTATCGATGAGAGCGAGTTACAAGCAAGGTGGTAATAGTGAGAGTGTGTTACAAGCAGGGTGGTATCAATGAGAGTGAGTTACAAACAGGGTGGTATTAATGAGAGTGTGTTACAAGCAGGGTGGTATCAATGAGAGCGAGTTACAAGCAGGGTGATATCAATGAGAGCGAGTTACAAGCAGGGTGGTATCAATAAGAGCGATTTACAAGCAGGGTGGTATCAATGAGAGTATGTTACAAGCAGGGTGGTAATAATGAGAGCGAGTTACAAGCAGGGTGGTATCAATGAGAGCGAATTACAAGCAGGGTGGTATCAATGAGAGCGAGTTACAACGAGGGTGGTATCAATGAGAGAGAGTTACAAGCAGGGTGGTATCAATGAGAGCGAGTTACAAGCAGGGTGGTATTAATGAGAGCGAGTTACAGGCAGGGTGGTATTAATGAGAGTGAGTTACAAGCAGGGTAGTATCAATGAGAGTGAGTTACAAGCAGGGTGGTATCAATGAGAGCGAGTTACAAGCAAGGTGGTATCAATGAGAGTGAGTTACAAGCAGGGTGGTATTAATGATAGTGAGTTACAAGCAGGGTGGTATTAATGAGAGTGAGTTACAAGCAGGGTGGTATTAATGAGAGTGCGTTACAAGCAGGATGGCATTAATGAGAGTGAGTTACAATCAGGGTGGTATTAATGAGAGTGAGTTACAAGCAGGGTGGTATCAATGAGAGCGAGTTACAAGCAGGGTGGTATTAATGAGAGTATTTGGGGTATATGAGTATTTGTCTCTCTGATGTTGCAATTATTCACTGTGTCTAGTAATTGTCGCGTCAGGGAAACAAATCTTCATATACACGTCATTTGCAGTTAATAATTATTCAATATTCCAGGACATAGTTATACTGGTACTGTAAAATACTTATTTTAGTTGGAATTAATTTTCGCTGAAATCACTTTTTGGGTGTTTTGTATGGAATTTATTTTCACTGATTTTTGACAAGTTGAATGAACAATATAGGAAAAAAAGTATATTCGCTGGATTTTATTTTCACTGAATCATTCCTTCAGCGAAAATAGCGAAAATTAATTCCAAACGAAAATAAAGTATAGTATTTTCAGCAGACACAAATATATTTTTTGAAGAGAAAACTTCATGATTGCAAAACAAAACTTAATATTTCAGAAAACACTTTTAATTACCAGCTGAATAGACTTTAGATCGTAGGAGATAATTATGTTTTTAGTGGACTTAATCTAAGACCACGTTACAGAAATTTACTAATACCATGGCATAACTCCCTATTTGATGGTAAAACCTCATCTCGTAACAAGCAACTTTCCACATGTCAACACTTAACACGGCGGAAGATCCGCTAACATCTGTTGCATCGCCAATTTTTATATAATAATATATAGATGTATTTACTTTTAGTCAGTTCCAAGATGACGAATGGACTTTCTTAGGGCATAGATGCGTTTTTTTAGTTCAATTCCAAGTATTATGATATACATTCAGATGCAGTTGAGCACACTGTATTAATTTACCCATAGACTAGAGGGTCTATGATTTACCTAATTACTCCAAAAATCTGTGTACATACGTAACATATCTATTATATATTAAGAGAGCTAGTTGTGGGCAGCCGAACGACTTTTCTTACGTGATGGTACTGATTTTCCTCAGAAGTGGGTGACTGACAACATACAAGTGAAAAGATGACGTTCAAACATAAATACAATCATAACAATGGTTCGTCGTGCGAAAGAGCTACGGACCAGGTTTAGTGCAAGTTTTTCTGACAGAGTAGGGATTACTGCGTTAACGCTGTAACTGGATAATAGGTTCCGGGTCAGGTTTTTGCTTTATTCTTACGTATATCACAGCTGCTTACCCATTACTGGACGTCAACGATGGTGTACAACTTCTATGCTCGTTCTTTCACCTTTACTTTCCGGGTGATTCTAATAACGTCGACTCAGCGACCGTTGACAACACTGACAGTGGTCTAACATCCCGATCTTCATTTCCAATCAGGAGGTTCATAAAATATATTTAGAAGCGTGTGTGTGTGTTGTCCCGTTGGATGAAAGTGCGGCTACATCATATATATCACGTGACTTGCATGACAGTGCAGGATTGAATATTGTGTTTGAATCAACACTATAGTTTTGAATCCATTTTGTTTGTTAAGTTTGAAATTAACTGATTAGCTGAAATAACGGCGAAACGGCCCCAATTGCTTAAACAAACACCGTGTATGTGTGAGAACCGGTAAAAATATTGGTCGCTCATAAGTCCCATTTTCTCAAATTATCGCTATTGAGTAATCGAATAACAAAATCATAGTGATTTTGATTGCTGAGTGATTGACATGTCGGTTGTTATGCGCAGCTGGTTGTTTGCATTTTATACTGCTCCTCTCACTATTTGAAATACATGTTATATCCCAAAAATTGGTTGTTTAATTGGGAGATTTATTCCACGTAGTTTAAAATGTCAAATAAATATTGTTTCTTGTCTTCTAACTCACATTTGATACAATTACCACAGTCGCGTGTTACCTGTGATCAAAAGCGATGTATTATTGAAACCAAAAGATCCTCAGGCTGCCCTCCCCGTACTAAGAATAAATACAGTACAAAGGGCCGAATCAAGCCCTCTATAGGTCACGCGATAGGTTGTATTTATAAAGTAGGAAATGTTTAAATGTGTAAACAGAAAAGAGCTTGACGCAATACGCCCACGCATGCACCTGAACTACCAAAGCGATCTGAGATAAACACGAATCATTTCATTAAATGACTCAGTCATTTTAATTAGGATTTCCTGATATGTAGGCTCTTTTGTAATTTTGGACCATATAGTATTTTGCGTGATTTCAATTCGCATGTAATCTTCGTCGCATATAAATCCTAAACGAGTGAGTGTGATTATCTTCTGTTTTTCATGACAATGTTTCGGTTTTAGATCTGCGTAGAATGTAACATGTTGGCTCAAAAGCAGGGTCTCAAAAGCAGCCAGAGACTAGAAAACATGAACCACCCTTGAAGTTCCTTGACCACCAGAACAAATGGTACCGGGGATTCCCTCTTTCCCGTCGCTACGCGCGGGATACTTATAGCGTTCTTTGTGCGCACATCGGGCGCGTGGACGCAATGTACGGACGCACAAAGAGCGAAGGCTGCACTATGACGTCACAATAAATATTCGAATGTCCTGTATGTGATTGTATTTTAGAATGTATAAATGACATAGCAATGCGGTGTGTTCAATATTTAAACATGTGTGAACGTGAGTCTGCAGAAAACAGCATGGAAATACTTTCAGAAACGGAGATACATTCAGAAACGGAGATACATTCAGAAACGGAAAATGCGCAGTCACCAGACTGGGGGAATCTGCCATGGACGGTCTTGTCAAGAGTGTTTCATTTCTTAGACGACAAAACACGGTGTAGAGCAGCGATCACAAATAAACATTGGCGAGAAGTTTTCAAGACACCCCGACTCTGGAGAAGACGTCACTTTAGACTATACGGAAACTTTCGCGACCATCGAGCGTTGAGGTACGCCCGCAGCGTCGGGCGTTTTTTGCGGAGTGGCCATTTGACTTGCGGCTTGCACAGCGATAGATTTGCAAAACGGTTTCAAAAGTCGCTTACTAGCTATTTGAACCATCTATTCCTACAGAGAGTGCAGCTACAGGAGTTCTCCATCACCCGATTGGAGTTCAACAGATACTTCAGAGATGCCGTGGTCCGATCCCGAGTACGCAAATCATTAGTGAGATTTTTACGATTTCAACGAAAAGTCAAATTTGTTGACATGACGTCTGCGTGGACTAGCGAAAATGATGGTAATTCTATTCTGGATGCTGTTGCCAGACAGTGCCACGCTTCCGTTACGCACCTCCATCTAGAAGACTTCTTCGCTTCACACATGCCAATTTATTTATCGCAAGAATTCACGCTGACAATGTCTAAGTTTAGTAACTTGAGAGTTTTAAACTTGAACTACAACTGCGTGTCGAACAGCTTACTTTTGTCTCTCGCTGAAAATTGCGGCCACAGTCTTAAAACATTCAACATCAAGTGTTTCAAAGAGGATCCACATTCCCAAGATATCTGGCGAAGTTCGTGGGGAGAGCTCCGTGATTCCTGCCACAATTTAAATACTATGTGCGTCTGTTTTGACGGAATCACGTCATATAGCGCTTTGAGGGGAATTCTGAGTCCCGCGATTCCGTTGACTCATTTGGAAGTGTACGGAGAAAATGAAGAAGACACCTTCCAGCCTGATCAAATAATGCAGCACTTGGCCACAAACTTTTCAAAAACCTTGCGGGAAGTCTTCTTCGATGCACAACCTTTTTCGTGGGATATTGACCAGGGCGTGGTGCATCTGGTTAAAAACTGTCCACAACTTATCAAGCTGGAGTTTAAGGCCATGGTTGTTAACCTGTATGCCATTGACGAAGTGTTGCGTAACCTGAAACACAGACTGGAATCGACCAAAGAACCAAACCCACGTTTAGAGGTATTTCGATTGATACTAAACAACATGCCAGTGTCGTACTATGAACAAATGGCGGACGTATTTAAACAATATCAAGACTATTTCAATAATTCTCATATTGATTGTCACATGCAAGGATTCGTTAACGGCATGCCTGTGATACATATTTGAATACCCTTCTCCAAAATATGCTTAATCGAATATTAAAAAAAAGTATTATTTTAATTGCATAATTGTCCATATTTCTGTTGGATCAATTATATTTTGTTTAAAAAAATAGTTTTAGTCCTAGAATCGTCTCCGACTAATAAAACATATACAATTTCACGTGATATGTTTGTGTCTAATTTATTTACTCCATTAAGTTTATGTATGAAAGGCGGGAATACTAATTATTGCATTAATAGGTCACCATGGTTTTACTAGTATTCTAGGATGGAGCTCATGTTCATATACGCCCAGGTCAAATAAAATAAATGGTTTTTGGGGCACATTAAAAATAATAATATGGTAGATGGGTTAATATGACATAAATATTGCAATTATTGTCAACAAAATGATGCTGTCCATAGTGTTGAACAGATTTTATTTTAGAAATAAACTCGATTATTTATCATCACATCAATCAATGTAACTGTCACGAGACAACTATCAAACAATACGTAAGTAAATCCAGCAAAGATGGTGGCCATAAGTTAATAGACTTTAGCATTCTGGGCGTACCAAAAAAAATTGTTCTGGATGGACTGAAATTGTTGTGGAAATGTCTAGGGCATATGGATCTAATGTTTAGGCTATCAATTCATACTAGAGAGGCATATAGAACTAGCCTCTACGGATTTTAATTAATTGGCCTGAGACAGACAGCCTCTACAATTTGAATTTCTAAGTAGTTTCCTTTGTATTCCAATATAAGCGCTAACGAAAACATCCACAGTAAACGATTTTGCTGTCGGGTTCAAACTTTTTCGGTTGCTTTGCGTAATGGATAATAATTATTTTAACAGCCATACAATTTCACTGAAGTTCGGTTTTCTGTTTTTGTTTGTATATCCAGCATTTCCAAAAATCGTGGCCTTTTTCTTATCTGCGTTACTGTAATGCTAACAATAAATCCCGAAACTGCCGTGCCAAGTAAAATGAGACATTCTTTCGGTTAATCCACGAAAATACACACCATCGAACTAACTGTGGCTCAAGACAACTCGGATTGTCTTGACAATTTCCCCGCTTAATAATGTGTTGTACAAATGTGCTGATGATCAATTATGATGGAGTTAGGTCTCAACACCGTATTCCCCTCTGAAAATAGGTATTTCGAAAATGAGCTATAAAAAAATAAAACTCTAATCTTCGATTTTTGTAGCAGACGTTCGGTCCACATCCTTCAAGCAATACACGAGATCTCGCAGTGAAACGGGAAATCACCTATTGCTCAAACTATTGCGCATTGTGTTTGCGCATTGGTGTGTTCGTAGCCTTGAGTACAGTCCTGTAGGTTGGCCTTCAGGGCTCATACCACTAATTGAATTTCCATAGACGACAATGTTAACATATGACGAGATTGCTATATGAAAATGACGAAGAAAGTTGAAAATATGGCTCAAAAATGGGAAATCAACATGCCAGTAATCAACCATATGAAAAAAACTAACATGTTGGCCAGCTCAAACTCTTGCAAATCTCAGGTAAACAAGACACACCTACTGTATTTGGATTGCACCAAGAGAAATCACTGGAAAAACACCAAGATTAGAACATCCATTAACACACAGAATAAACCCACAGGTACACAGCCGCTAAGTAGTAAACAAAAGACCACATGTTGGTCTCACCTCTGACCCAGTGATTACGCCCTCAAACAGGAGCACTAAGAAAAATAATATTTAAAAATTTCATTGGTTCTTGCTTGCATTTAAATGCTA